CAGCAGGTGAAGAATATTTGCTCTGACTCCCTGATGAATGTGCAGAACCTACTGTTTAGGTTAGGCCAGACACAAGTGAAAATACATTTGCAAAGACTCAAATATGAGCAGGGCAAGAATATGAGTGACCAAAAAGAGCTTTTGTATTTGGGGTGTAAAAATACAGATTGCAACTACTTGAAGTATTTATGTGGTTCAAACTTTGCAGTCTCAACTTTTTTGTTTTAAAAGAGATAAGTGTCTAGGCCTCATAGTTACAAACAGAACCTTCCAAACAAGAAAAATTTGATGTAAACTGCCTTCCTGAGTCTGGTGACACCTTAAAATAATACCTTGGAGGTCTAAATTCCACTTTCCATTAACACTCATTGTATCCCTTAGAAATCTTATTGTAGTATCAACTGTGAACCCAGTGATGACATGTCAATGTCAACTTTCACTGCTGATCATTTTGGAGAAGAGAGTGGGAATGATGTCCCTGGGTAGAAAGGAGAGTTGCTGCAGGGGACAGAGGGAAGATGCATGAAGACAGACAAAAAAAGAAAATGAGAAAAAAAGATAAGTAAGGAAGAGAAGAAAGGGTAAAAATAGTGGCAATTTTGGAGTGGAGCACATGTTCTCAGTGAGTGACAGACGATGACTGTAAGCTGCTTAACAGATAATAAAAAATTTTAAGTTTAGTTACTACACAAAGGATATATTTTGTTTTGGGTCATTGTGCAAGCCTTCCATTGACATCTGTAGGAGATTTGCTATGGATGGCAGTTAGTATGTATAGTGGCCTATGTGCAGTACTAAATAAGGGTGAATTGTAGGGCTGTGCAAAGCTTCGGTAGCTGATTCGATTCAGAGAAGATTTGGCCCAATTTGGCGGCTGAATCTCCAAATCCAAATCAAATCAGGAGACCCATTAAAAGGTCCGAATCTATTCGGAAGCCTCCAAATTGATTCAGGGAGATTCGGAGATTTGGAAGGTTTGCAGGAACAGAAACTGAGAAGAGGGAGGGGGAGGGGGTAATCTTCCATATATGGAAAAGGCTGGGAGGGGGAAAAAACTGCTCTGATATTGACATCTGTAGCTGGCCAGTGACTGTGATCTTTCTCTGAGTTCCCTTCCAATTGCAGTTTTGTGGAGGAGGGACGTAGAAACAACAAGCTGTGTCTGAAGTGATCTGTGCTTTTTGTGAGCTGCTCTTGGAGCAGCAGCATTTGAAAGGCTCTGTTTTGCTATCTAGTCTCTTGGTAGCTAGTCTCTCTTCCTGTAAATTATATCCAATCTAGAGGTGCACCGATACATCGGTCTGATATCAGTCTGGTACCAATATAAAGAAAATTGTCTCTATCAGATATTGGCCTGATGGGTCTGATCATTTGGCTGATAAATGCCTGTGCTGCACGCAGCTGCAATGCAGCATGGAGCAGAGCTAGCAGAGTGGAGAGCTGCCTCCAGCTGGTAAGTCGGAAGGGGAGGGGAGAGGGATGGGACGTGGCAGGCAGATCAACTCCCCCTGTGGTAAGAGAGGGGCCAGGGGCAGGCACTGCCCAGCCAGGCCGCAGGGAGTCATGGGATGGAGCCGCAGCTCATGTGGTGGGGGCAGCTTCTGCCACAGCTTGCACCCCGAGAGGGCAGGGGCAGAGGGGCATGTGCCCCCGGAACTGTGCGGGGTGGGGTGGGGCAGGCTGCAGCTGTGGGGTGGAGCTGGAGCTGGTGCTGCGCGGCTCTTCTCAGCAGGGACTGGGCTTGGAGCATGCTCTGGCAGTGCTGGGAGGAAGCTGTAGCCACCCCATATTTCACCGCAGCTCTGCTCCCAGCCCCATGCCGCTGCCCAGCGCAATCCTGGCTAAATGCCCCGCCTTCACCCGAGCACTGGGAAAAGCCACAGCTGCGGCAGGTGGCTGTGCTGGACTGGGAGCGGAGCTGCGATGACATTTGGGATGGCTGCAGCCTCCTCCCAGCACCGCCATAGCCTGCTACGAGCCTAGCCCCCACCAAAAAAAGCCATGCAGCACCAGCTACAGCTTCACTCCGCAGATGCAGCCCACCCTGCACCACGCAGATCTGGGGGCACACAACCCCCACCCACCTGGAGTGCAAGCAGCGGTGGGAGCTTCCTCCCCCCCCTGAGCCCTGCCTCTGTCCCACACCACACCCTCCCCCCCTCACCCTGGCTGGGCAGCGCTTGCCTCTGCCCCCTCCCTCACTGTGAGGGGGGCGTTGATTTGCCACCCCCCCCATGCCCCTTCCCTCCCCTTCCACCACACCGGACTTAAGACCTGGAGGCAGGTGTATTGGAGATCGGATTGGTATTGGCCAATATACCTCCTTAAATATTGGCTATTGGTATTGGTCCCCAAAATCTCTATCGGTGCATCCCTAATCCAATCCTTTTCTACTTACCCTTCCCTACAATCCCTATTGTTATCCCTATCCATTCCTTTCAATTTATTCTTCCCCCAAGATCCTCTTATTTGTTCCTGTTAGTCTGTCTTGATTCTTTCCCCCCAGAATTAGAAGTCTGTGTTTTCCCTGACAGTGTCTCATCACTGTGCAGGAAAGCACTACACACATTTTGCAGCACACCAAACATTATGAAGTGTGCTGGAAAGGCAAGTGTCAGGTCTTCTGGCAGAGGAGAGAGAGGGGGCAGAGGGAGAGCTGCAAGTTTCCCCTGCCCTAAACATAGATTCACCCTCTTTCCTGGGAGCAATGAGTCTTCTACTGCTAGTGGCAGCAAGGATGTGGTAGCAGTGCCTGCACCTGCACCACCACCACTACTAACACCACTAACCAACAGCAGCATGAGATTCTCCACCCCTATTTCAGTTCCCAGCATGAGCCTTCCAGTGTCAGAGGAGAAGCTGGATCTGGAAGCAAAGGAGCTGAGGGCCATAGCGAAGGAAATTCTGAGGAAGGAGGGAGAATCTGAGTTTGTGCTCCACACCCCTCAGAGTTCCCTTAAAGACAGGTCTCCTTCTCTGGAAGGCATTTTGGAGGAGGTTGTGGGGGCAGGTGGCTCAGCAACTCCTCCTGTTGTACCTCTGTCTGGTGAGGAGGGGATAAGGCAGGATCCCCACCGGCAACCCAGAAGCGGGTAGGTAGTGCAGTGGGGAATCTTTTTGAGGTGGCAGTTGATCACAGGTATAGTACCTGCCAGCATTGCTGAAGGCAGATCAGCCAGGGCAAGGATGTGAAACACTTTGCCACTTCAGTGATGCTGCTGCATCTCAGGAGACAGCACCTCCTTGCCCTTGTTCCTCCTCAGCCTGGCACCAGTGAGAGCATGCCCCAAAAAAAGTAACCCAAAGGTTACAATCCAGTGCCATTTCCCTGCTACCTAGCAAACCCTACAGGTGTGGAACAGTACTTGACCTGGCCAGTGCCCTGGGGGTTAAGCAGTGATTGACTCAAGAGGAAATCAGTTAAACAGTAGTCATTGTAATTATACTATTTAAATTTCTGTAGTGTTCTGTCCATTCTTATGACAAATTTAAGACACGCATTACCCCCGCTCTCTTTTTTCTGTAGCTGTGTCCACACGCCTGGATAGGTATATGAGGACACTATACCTGTAAAGTGTTCCTAAGGTTGATACAGCTAAACTGCACCCTTGCCACCATAATTTATTTCAGGCTCCACTTTCCAAACAAAGTAAGCTTTCCTCACAACAGCACAGTTTTGTCACTATATCTGTGCATTTCCCAGTTGAGCTAGGTTAGTTAGAGACCACATCTTTTTCACACCTGATAGACACACCGGGCTTGCAGAAGTCTGCTGTGTAGACTGGGTGACTGCAGCTCCACATGACCTGGGGCTGTCATGGAGCTGCTGTGCAGTGGGAGCGTGGAACTGTGGGAAATTATTCTATTCCACTCTCCGCGGCTCCATGCTCTTGCCACACTAAACCCCTGTGGCTCTGCAGTCCGGCTTTCAGCCTTTCCACAACACAGCCCTCTCCCACCCCTGTGACCCAAAAGTGGGAACAAGGGAGATATAGAGGGATGCTACAGCCCTATCAAGCCTCCTGAGCTGGTGGAACTTGTGGGGAAAAAGGGCCAGGCAGTGTGGAAAAATTTTAATTAACCTTGAGTAACTGGCTGATTGATTTTTTTTGTGGCTTTTGCCCAGCTCTGGGTGAAAGACACAGCCCTTTCTGGGGAAGCCTGGAGGTCTGAGACAGTGGCAATGCATAGGGGTGCATGGGGCTACACGTTCACCCCCTGAGAGCACCGGTGCACCCCCTAACCGTCCGCACTGCGGCTGCTTTGTGATCAGCTGTGAGGGACCCCCCCCAGTCAGCGAGATTGTTTGCAGAAGAACTCCCCCCCCGGTTAGCGAGACTGGCTGCGGGGGGACCCCTGCGTGCCCCCCCAACTAAGGTGGCACCAGTCACCCATGGTCTGAGATGGAGGTGGGGGGCTAGAATACGGGTTGGCAGGGGTCTGTGGAGGACTCCCCAGCTCCATGATACCAGCCTCATGCTTCATGCTCCTGGTTTCATGTTCCCACCACCACAAATCCCCTCCCAGCACTGGCAGGGCTCCACCTGCCCCCAGACAGTACTATCCTTGCCAGTAGGGCTCAGGAGATAGTTTATTGGGTGGGAGTAGGGGCAGGATTTGAGTATTGCATCCTGGGATGCTGGAAAACCCAAACTGTTTGCCTTATCTCGGTGGGAGCAGACTGCTATTGCTACAATATCATCTGGGTAGGATAAGCCAGAGATACTCCTCACTCGAAATTACATAACTGAGATGTTCACAGGGCACTTAGATGCATGTTCAAGCAGTTTAGCACATGTTAAGTGCCCCCATGGAGTTGCAAAGTTGTTCTCTTTCAGGCAAGGATTATCTCCTAAGTGCTACAAAGTTTAATAGGTGACTATAGTGCAAAGATTTGCAAGTGTGGCAAGTGAGTGTGTGACACCACCCTACTTGTAGTCACTACATGTTTGTTTTGAGCTCAAGAGGGGGAGGAGAGTTGGTTGATGGGATTTGAATAAGAAAGGAGATGGCCCAATTGATTATGAACAGGCAGGAGAGAAAAACTTTGCTACTCTTCCTTTTTAAATTGTGGCCCACGCTATGAAAACCATGCCAAAGATAACAATAGTGAATTAAACTAAAATATATACTGCAAAGGGACTGAATCTACAAGATGTAAAGGTGGGACTGTAAATCTAAGGGATGGTGCATTACAATTTTAAGTGAGATAAAACCATTTTTAATTATATATTATCTGACTTATTTGGATATAACCATTTTGTAAAAAGTTGTGTCTTGTACATACATTGAGCTAAAGAAACAAATCCTATAGGAAGATCCCAACACAATATAAATTCAGGCTCACCACCATCAACTACAGGGATCGACTCGTTTGTTTTAAGCAGTGGTCCCCATACATTAAATCCAAGAATATAGTTCAAATAAAGCAGCTCAACAGACTTTTCCCCAATTACAACTATTTTTGTTACTTTTGATTCATCTGACCTTCATGTTGACTTTTGGCTATTTTTTTCTCTTGAAAAAAATTGCTTAGGGTAGGTTAGTGGCTATCAGAGTTCAATACTTTGTGGGATGCCTGATTCCAGCTCAGCCTCAGGATGCTTACTCCTTGGGCTGAATGTGCTGAAGTGAAGCTCTCATCCTTTGGGCAATGGTACATATTTAGGGGCAAAACCTGCTCCCATAATTAGTTGCAGAAGTCTTCATACACTGTAAAATATCATATTTCTGTTGCAGTAGGGAGCTGCCTGCCTACAGAAAGTTTGTAAGCACATCATCCATAAGACAGCATCAATACATGTGTATGTGATTATTTCATGTCCATCTTATGGATAAGCCAATGCCCAGTAGATGGCACAAAGTAGTTTTTCACAGCAGTATCAAGAGGGATGGAATAACATAACTCGTAACTGGGGGAAGTGAAGGCAATGGCTGCAGAGCAGCAGCAGTGGTGTTCTGTGCTCTGGGATTGGTGTGCTGACTTTGTACAAGGCATGCTACTTATTAGGCTCTGCACACAGGTCCATAATTAAAATATTAAGCAATAACAATAAGTACCAGGTGTTAATTACTGGCTGGAAGGAGCTGATGATAATAACCCCATCTAGCCATTAATCCCTGGGAAATGACCTGTGCGTAGGACATTATTGCTAAATCCTGCAGTTCTTTTCAAGCAACACTTGGCTCTTTTACCAAGTGCAGCTGATTGACCTATAAGGTGAAATAACTATATAAGCTTGTGTGGATATTGGGCAATATATTTTTCAGATAATTTTACAGGTATTATCTACACCTAGTTAAAATTTATGAATCACCTCTCAACAGTCTATTCAGCATATAATGCATTTTGTCGTCTGATCAGTAAAGAGCAGCTTTACAGCCCTGAGGAAGGTTGCAAGTCCTCTAAATTGCAGGGTATGTGCAGTGACACAGTTATTGTGGCACAAAGTGGTAGTACGAGACCTTAATAAGTAAAGGATGGGGAAGGCAACTCATAAGGAATGTGTGAATGGAAAGGCTAGTTATGACTGCCAACATACAGAGTATGTGCTGTAGATAAGTTGAACAAGAGGTTAGTACCTTGTTTGCAATTTAATGGAAAATATTTTTATTTTGGAAGACTTGGGCATTTTGTGGTAAAAAAGCAATATTACCCTCTTTGCAAATTTTGCAAAATTTTAATAGTGTTTTCCATTTTAAAAAATCAACACATTTTCAAATAAATATGGCTTTCCAGCAAAATCACAAGAACATTGGAAGTGTTACATGATTTAGGTATGAAAAATTTTTGTTGCATCTTTGAAACTGTTTGAAGCAACAATTTCCTGAAAATGTTTTCATAAGTTCTGCACATCTCCCATTAAGATGCTTCTTGGGCTGAGCTATAGATGAGAGGTAAGTGGATGAGGAAGGAATTATGCTGCATTAGTTTGTCTCAGAGGTGCAACTGGCTGCTTGAGCCCCCTGGGCAGCAGCCAGGCATGGGGCAGTGTCAGTGACTGCACTGCTGGGTATGTGACAGTGGCAGCAGTAGTGGAAGAGGCTGGACCGGCAGTGTAGCTCCGCTCTTTTTGTACCTCTCCCTTCCCCCACCTAGGGTTGGCAGTGTACCTGGGCCTGGTGCCCTTCCCCTCCTCCCCCCACACTTCATTATACTACTGCTTGTCCCACCAAAAGCAAAGATAGTGTTGACCTCTTGGCTTTTACAGGCTTGCTGAAGAATTTTAGTGAATAGGATGAAGTTTGTCTAAATGCTGAACTGATTATATAATGATTTTTATCCAACAGCAAATCATGAAAAGACTTATAAAACGTTATGTTTTGAAAGCACAAGTGGACAAAGAAAATGATGAAGTAAATGAAGGTGAGAGACATTGTAAACAACACTTCCTGATACTGTTATGGAGAACCATACTATTATTTATTTTACTAGGTGCACTTAGCACAAATATGAAGTGAGAGATAGTATTTGCTACACAGCATATATAGTGTCAGTGGACAAGATGGATAAAGATGGGAAGAAAGGAAGTATTATTGTCCCCATTGGGACAATACGGGAACTGAAAAGATTAAGTGATTTGCCCAAAGTCATGCAGGAAGTCTGTGATGGAGCAAAGAAATGGACTCAGCTCTTTTGGTCTAATACTTCAGCCATAAGACCACCTTTTCTCTCCATTTCATCTCAGCTGAACAGGTGGTATTGTATCATGTGTATGATTTGTTTCCTCTCCTCCATAAAACCATGCTGAAATCACATTCAGCTCTAAAGTTCCATGTCTCTGACAGAACGACGTCAAACTAGCTATGTGGTATGCTGAGAAGAGAGAAGCTGTGGTCACAGTTCATCTGTAGTCCAGAGTTCTCTGCAAAATGATCAGACAGATCTTTAAGCATCTTAAATCTTAAACAATTGAAGAGCTGCTCTCCTATTAGGCTTGAAAATAAATTGCTACAATATACCATCTATAATATTTTTTTATGGACAGGAATTTCAGTATGTTTGAGAACCAATAAAATACTGATGAAGGATAAAGATAAAACATTTGAAAACATTTAAGCCCCAAATTCTAGCAGTAATTAAACAGACAACTCTTGGTGTGTCCTGTCATTGAACTAATAAGTCCCACAGGTGCTGACCGGCTAGAAGTTGCAGAGTTGTACAAAAATAACAAACACAGTGTATAGTTCAAGTGGGCATTTTTAACCAGATGCCTATATGTCAGTAGTTGCATCAAGAAAACTAAAGGTATAATCTCATTTTGGTATTTTTTGGAATTTGGTATGTACATACAGACATATCTTCTGCAAAGCAGGAGAGACGTGACAAAAGGATAGTGCTTTGTCACCAAAATTCTTGAGAAAGCACAAATCTTCTGGAACGATTTGCTTGATCATGTAATCTGCCTATGGAGTTTAGATCAAGTATTCAGAACCCTGAACCAAGTCAGGAGACCTACTTGTGGTCTCAGCTTTTTCACTGATTCTCCTTGAGTGACCCTGGGCAACTTGTCTGAGCTAAAACTTCCAATTCTTCAGATATAATATAGAGATAATATACATTGTGCCATATTTACCTCATAGAGATATTGTGAAGTTTAATTCTGGGTTTTGAAGCATGTGAGATGTAAAGCACCAAGTATGTTATGAATAGAAAACCATCTATAATTGCTAAGTATTATGATTCTTGCAAGTACAGGAATCTGGGGATTCCACTTAATTTTAAAGTAAACCATATAAGAGAACAGCATAGGTCTTATTTTATATCCTACACAACACACATCAAACAGTTTCCTGTTGGGTAGCGCATAAGAACGATCAGAATTCATGGCTGGGAGAAGAATGAACCCAAGAAAGATTCCATCCTTGAACTGAGTGCTCTTCAATAAATGAGTGTTGTTGTTGATGATTAATCTAGACACTTTTTGATCATGAAGGTTTCAATTGAAGTGCTGTGTCGGTACTTTGGCAAATTGTAGCAACAATTTAAATATACTGAATTTTTCTGTTTCTAAGGATGTGTGTGTTATTGAAGAGGACAGTCTCAAGAGATGTGAGTTGCAAGTGTGGCCAGCTCTGCCACACTTTTTCTGTGAGACCTTAGCAAGTCATGCCTTGCTGCTTCTTTCTAAAATGGGGATACTAATACTTACCAGCCTCTCAGCAGTGTTGCTATGATTATTCGTTAACATTTGCAAAACACTTTGAGACGCTAACATGCTCTTTGTATGTACAAAGTACAGTGTCACTGTGTTTCACTGAATTATTGAAATTCCAGTGTACTTATGGGCGTCTGGGTAAAAATAGTTCTGAAACATGCATTGCTTTGACAACAAAATTTCATGTAGTGAGTGTTTGATAAACAATGCTTAAAATATTCCCTTCATTAATTGATACAGGTGAACTAAAGGAAATCAAACAAGATATCTCCAGTCTTCGCTATGAACTTTTGGAGGACAAGTCCCAAGCAACAGAAGAACTTGCAATCCTAATACATAAACTCAGTGAGAAACTAAACCCCAGTATGTTGAGATGTGAATGATTCTAGAAATGATCCTTGGCTTCGACTACAGCACAACTATTTATTGGCAATAATATTTCTGAGTATCTTATACTTGAAAAATATATTGTAGATTTTTAGCACTAAATAACTTTATGTACAGCTTCTTTGAAGTTTAACCTTAGGAAATTTTATTAATTTACCACACAAAAATACTCTGTTCATTTTAAATGTACTGAAATGTAAGAA